TGAGGTTGAAAATTTTTGGTAACTCAATGTTTAAGTGGGCTGTTTGAGTTTACATACATACACAAGTTACATTGTCATCTACAAATTTAAACTACCTAATTGAAATCATAATTCTATAATCATTCTAAAGTTGGCTATTAATATGTGTTGATGGGATTGATTTTATTACTGTAGAACCTGACGAAGTTTTTATTTTTATATCCTGTCTGTGCTTTGAAGATTCTCTAAGACAAGGTGGCCTAATATCAACCACAACATTCCTCATTGTGATCGACTGGATCATACACCAAACTGTGACAAGTGAGAAGATTGGCAGACTCTGTTAGACTAATGAAAAATCCTTAAAAGATTTGGATTTCGTCGACGATAATTCATGTCTAATGTCTTATGTCGCACAAACATGAAGATCTACAAGCAAAATACAACAAGATGATAGAATAGACAGGGTAGAGAAGACAGAACTTCAAGTGAACATAGAGAAGATGGAGGTGATGATGATACCCAACCAACGCCAACGCCATTACCACCACCACCACCACCAACAACAACAACAACAACAACATCAACAACAAGCTCCAATCAACATCAATGACAGAAATGTAAAGGAAGTAGTCTCTTTCACATAACTACCTGGCTGGCCAGCATAGTTTCGACTACAGGTGGCTGTGGAGACACAGATGAGAACGTTAAAATCAGCCAGGATTGGAATGACAGCAAGACAGATCTTAGTTCATCAATCGGAAATCAGTGTGGAGATCTACTCCACTCAGCATGAAGACTGAATAAGATGGGAATTTCCAACAGTAAGTCAGTCAAGTAAGTCAGTGTTGCTATGTGATGGTTGAGAGACTTTGCGTGTTACGAGAAGCATTTGTAAGAAACAAGAGATATTGGTGAACAGATGCCACGTATGGTGGCTGTATAGTGAAGATGAGATGAGAAGGCAAGAAAGAATAAGCAAGGAGGTAGTGTGGGTTGGCTGTCCGGCTGTCTGGCTGGCTGGCTGGCAACGAACCCACGAAGCAAAAACCCATCACCCAACAAATATGCGCGGACATGACGCCCCAGTTCAGGCACTCAAGCGTTACCCATATGGGGAAGGCCAAGTTGGTCGTCCGAGGTGAGGGTGATATGGAGGAGATGGTGTGAGAAATAAATGAGAGGTTGTGGGAGTCGTGGAACCAGTTTGAAAAGACTGGAGAGAAGAGAGTGTAATGGCGATGTGCTAGAGAAGCCGTATGTTCCACTAGGAACCCAAGGGACAAATAATAATAATATAATAATAATAATAATAATAATAATAATAATAAGAGCCTGACGAGATATTCGGTATAGTTCAAATCATTAAAGTGTATCCTTGAAAGAGAAATGAGTATCGCATTAACATTCTTGTAAAAAAATTCTTAAAATGACACCCAGGTTGCTAACTAGACACCTCTTGAATGTAACGGAACAGTCTAAATAAAAGGGACATATAATTATCAACGAAAGTTAAAAAACATATTTTCCAGTCTGAAAAATATTCTAACTTTGAGAAATGTTTATATGTAGATTTGATTTAAATACTAGATCATGAGATTAGATGATGTCAAACTCTAAAAATATAATAACCACTACTTTATTACTAATTTCAGTATTGTAGTTTGTGTTTCAGAAAGATAGTGTACATGTGAATAACTTTTATGATGCATAATATGGTAATATGTTTTCAACAATAATAAAAGAACTTCTTCAAATAAACAAATGAAACTTTGATTGATTTGACTAATGTGTTTATGAATAAACAGTGAACAAACATATACGTATATATAGATGGCCATCATCATCATCATAGTAGTAGTATTAGTGTGTGCATGTACATATGTACTTGCCTATCTTAACTTACTAACGGCTTAAAAACAATAGTTTCAATGCCAACCAGTATAATCAGTGTGCAATAAACTAAATTAGCCTATTAATAGTAATGTTGTTAACATGTAATAGATTATATAAACTTCCAGACTTCAAGTAGTTGGATGCATCATTTCTAAGCCTTCTAATTTCTAGGGCTGTCTTGGATCCATATATATATATATATATATATATATATATATATATATATATATATATATATATATATATATATATATATATATATATATATATAAAGGAAGGCATGAATGTATGTCGCATTGTAGTCTTCTGTGAGATAACTTCCCTCCGAATACACAAAAGAACTAGTATACATTTTTGTTTTATGTGTTGCTCAACAGCTAAGCACTTCATTCGTGTTGAATAACTATAAAGTGAGTTGATTATATGCTTATCATCATAAAAAGTAGATTTTTATTGATTATGGTAAAACAAGAAAACCATAAAATCTCTCATCTGTAATATAGTTGATATGAGTTATGTAGTGTATAGATCTTTTTATGATAATGATATTCTCAAAAAGTTAACAATCGCCTTCATTAGTAAAAAGATAAAATGTATCGACCTATGAGGTTATTCAAGTTAGAAGTGAGTTGGATTCCCATGAATGACATTAAATTATAGTCAAGCCACATCATGATTTCAGTTCACATCCATTTGCTCATCTTATCAAATATTTCCACGTTTCTAACGTTACTTCTATATCTGTGTTGTTTTTCTAACCATTACCTACTAAGAACTATAATAAATTGATATAAAATTGACACATTGCGTGATGATTGAAGAAATACTTAAATCTATATGATAAATGTATTTTCACAGGGTACTTTGAAACATCTAATCAGATGCGTTTTTAAGCTGATGTACTTATAGAAGTCAAGATATAAGAAAACTGAAAAAGTCGAATTAAAAGGTTCTGTTGAAGGTCAAAATAACTACGAAAGTTCATAAAGTATCGTCAAAGAAACATTTTAGTCTGTTTATTAGAAATGTCACACAGTGAAGTAACAGATTATCATTTACTTGATAATGTTTCGGACATAATTTATTGTCCATATTCATATCAGGTGACTAACTCTACAACTTTGAGGCAGAGTTTATATAGTTCTAATCCTCTCTTCTTATTTTTGATGACAAAAGTGGTGGAAATTTCCATATGTCTGGAACACGTGCAGAATCATTTCTATTACTGCATGTATTTCGTGTTCGTTCGCTTATCAAACTCTTTCTCCCGATGCACAACTAAGTTAGTTCCCAACACCGTCGCCCTATCCCACCCTACTGTCTGATTGTGTGTAATTGCATGCAGAGCTATAGCTGAGGTTCTTTCTGAATTTTTTTATCTTACTAGGATATACTAATCTTGATTTAGCTAAGTTTATGCGCTATGTTATTCTAATCAACCCTGGTCGACTACTTTGACTTATGTATTTCACCTCGCAATCATTGCAAGGGATTTGGTAAGCCAGATTATTTTGCTTAATTGCATCGATAAGATCTAGAAGTTGTAGAGTTAGTCACCTGATATGAATATAGATAATAAATTGTGTCCGAAACCTTATCAAGTAAATGATAATCTGTTCCTTCACTGTGTGACATTTCTAATAAATAGACTAAAATAGAATTACAATCAACCACAGTGCCACGTTTTTACTCTTTTATCTCCAAAGAAAGTTCCATTTGACATAAATTCGTTTTTTGACATTTAAAAGTGACCGAAACTTCCTAATGTCTAAGAATAAAGCAAATCCTAGCGTGCTTCAAAAACTTCAGTAAAATGTTTTTAATTGGGATGCTTAGGTGAATCTTACTGCTGTCGGAAAGATCGGATAACACAGTCTTCACATAAAGCCTCTTATTAGGCCTACTTTGCTTTTATGTGGCCATGTTACTTTTCAATATTGGTCTAGAAGTACACCGAAACTGACAAATACCCCATAATGTGACATCAGTATTCAAATTATTTCGGGTTGCGAAAGGTCATATTAGTATAAGCGTTTTGTACTAACTCCAAACCTTAATTATACAGTTTGAATTTGTATGACACTTTTATCATTATTTGTCCCTTGGGTTCCTAATGGAACATACGGCGTCAGTAGCGCGTCTCCATTCCACTCTCTTCTGTCTAGTCTTTTGAAACTAGCTCCAAGACTGCCCACAAGCTGTCATTTCCTCCGTACACCTGGCCTGGTGCGCGATGTCCATAGTCGACCTTCTCAGTGTATGCCTAATCCATCTACACTTCCTTCCAGTGCATATTTGTTGAGCGATAGCTTTTTGCTTCGTTGGTTCGTTTCCAGAGTTCCTTGTTGTTTAGTCGTTGTGGCCATCTGATCTTCAGTAACGAGTCAGTGTAGGCGGCATCTGTTCACCAATATCTCTTGTTTCTTACAAATGCTTCTCGTAACACGCAAAGTCTCTCAACCATCACATAGCAACACTGACTTACTTGACTGACTTACTGTTGGAAATTCCCATCTTATTCAGTCTTCATGCTGAGTGGAGTAGATCTCCACACTGATTTCCGATTGATGAACGAAGATCTGTCTTGCTGTCATTCCTATCCTGACTGGTTTTGACATTCTCATCTGTGTCTCCACAGCCACCTGTAGTTGAAACGATGCTGTCCAGCCAGCCAGCCAGCCAGCCAGGCATGTAGGTAGGTAGGTAGGTAGGTTGAGTATGTGAAAGAGACTACTTCCTTTACATTACTGTCATTGATGTTGATTGGAGCTTGTTGTTGTCGTTGTTGGTGGTGTTGGCGTTGGCTGGTTATCATCATCACCTCCGCCTTCTCTATGTTCACTTGAAGTTCTGTCTTCTCTACCCTGTCTATTCTATCATCTTGTTGTATTTTGCCTGTAGATCTTCATGTATGTGCGACACTAGTTGAGTTTTAAAGTTCAGAATTGTAATATTGAGTACTAAGTACCAGACTCGATATTTTCTAATGAACCTTCTCTCACTTACTCAACTTAGGCTGCTATTCTAACCATCCGGAAATGATTTCTTAGTCAGTTCAGTCACATGTAATTGTAAGTTGTCTGAACACTTAAAAGATGTATATTCCGAATATGTGAATTACTTACTGTGAATTTAAAGTATATTTGTGAAGATTTCAAATGGTTTAAAGCCATCTATAGGAAACCGCACTCAATCCAGGTTTCATATTTGTCGGTTATTATTAGCAAGCCATATCTCCAACCTTGAAGGAACTGATATCCAATAAGAGGTTCATACCAGCATCCCGCAGTGCTTCATTCGAAGACGTAACCATTGAGATATTCGGGTTGCCACTGATCTCCTGTGGGAGTGGACTACATACGGTGACTGATTACTCTCAAGTGACGAATCAATAATATCGATGAAGATTACCTGCAAGCAATGGAATTCGCTCCACAGAAATAGCTTTAAGATTGGTAGTTTGGACTTTTTTTCAAAGAAAACCATGCTTCAAAACAGAACACATTTGTGGTTAAAGATTTCAAAATGTTAACTAAGAATATCAGTAAATCTTATGAAATATTGAGCAACTAAATGTGATACATAATTAGAGTTTAAGAAGTACACACCGAATGCTACACAAGTATATTATTGTTGATACATGAAGAGAGCTGTGAATAAAGTGGATGCTCACTGTCAATTAAAATTTCTGTAGCTAGTAGCTTGCAGGAATTTATATGTCGATCAACTACAGTGTAAATCAGTTGAGCCAGGGACACACCACTCACCCTACTCGCTGACGGTCTTCAAGGCCCTACGCAACATAACATAGTCCTTTTTATGAAGACCAGGAAAGACTAATGGGGAACAATATAGAAGAATAGGTAAGATGCAGGAATTAATAAATTGTAAAAGAAGCAGTTGAGTTATACCAGAAAGCCTCAATTTCTTTACGTAATAAGTTAAACGAAAGATTTTTTACAAGTCAATAAAATATGGGACGACCAACAAAGGACAGAAGTTAAACCCAACCCAAGATAGTTCACATTCGATTTACTTTCGGCAGAAATACCATTGATGCAGCAGGTGTCATGAGATTTGAGCAGCTCACATAAGTCTTGTTTACGCCTGAGGCTGAAATTAACATTCTGACATTTAGAGTGGTTTAGTTTGAGACCGTTTGAGAGAGACCACTTACCAACTTCAGACAAGAATTCATTTAATTTCGAGCAATCCAAAGAAGAGTTTACTGGAATAGAAATCGTCAGGTAGTCAGCATACTTGATAAAATTAGTTTCAACAGAATAAGGCAAATCGTGCAAAAAAAGGAAAACAGAAAAGGAGGAAGTACAGCTTCTTAAGGCACACCAGTTTCAGTAAGCAATGAAGTGGAGCCCATCCCTTTATGAATAGTATACTGTTTCCTTTCAGGAAAATAAGAACGCAGCCATTTTGTAACCCGTGGATCAGTGTGAGCTTTGGCAAGCTTATTTAACAAAAGTGGTCTAGGAAGAGTCAAAGGCTGATGAGTAATCCAAAAAGGCCCAATGAACATACTCAACACCCTTGTCGAGACTAGATACAATATTAGGATGCAAGACAGTAGCTGCATCTAAAGTACTTCTCCTATGTTTGTAAACAAACTGTTTTGGATCTCTAAAGGTCATCAATGAAGGCTCAATCACAAGGAAAAGTAATTTCTCTTCATTGTCTTCAGAAAAGGGGAAGTTATAGCGATGGGTCGAATAGTAACATCTGATCCAGAGGATGGCTTAGGCACAGGTAGAATTTTTATCTGCTTCCAATCAGTGGATATTATGTTTTTAGAGAACGATACATTGAAGATATCTGTTAGTGGATGACACAAAATATCTGCACATTTTCTAAATGTGATACCAGAAACACGGTCAGGATCTAAGCTTTGGGAGGGATTCAAAGACTTAAGACATTTAAATACATCATTTGTATGGAAACCTGGAAAGCAGCTATCCACTTGATTTTGCAAATTAGGAAGGGTGAAATCAGCTTGCCGACGTATAAATGACTTGTTTAACGCGAAGACATCCTAAAATGGCTTGCATTACCGGTGTGTTATTGATTTATGATCAACTAAAAACATAACCTTATACTGTTAGCTCATTTGCTTCACGGTTACGTAATAGAGGCTTCTCAGTATTGTCTAAGCACTTCATAAGTATAGGAATTGTTTATTAGCACAAGTATTTACAATAGATATAAATCACTAGTTGACTGTTTTCGTTTAACTCCTGATGTTAGGGTTTATTCTCCTTAATCAGTCGCAGCATTCCTGTTGCACACTAGCCCGTTTGAAAATCTTCAAAATCTTTACATGATAAGATTATTTTTTTTTCTATAGTGTCAATATGGAGGTTTTAAGAGATCATTTCGAATGGTAGTTTTAGACTTTTCAAAAAACGATCATGATCTCTTTGATACGTTTTAAGAAAACGAAGTAGTCTCACTGACAAGTGACTGGTGTCGTCTGAGCTTTGAGGTCTATTCGTGGATGTCTTATCATCTGGTTAGGAAACATCATCAGGATATACTTCATAAAGAAGTGGCGCATTTTAAAGTTGCATGCATGTTTTTTAAAGATATTTGCTAAGCGCAAGTGTTATTGACTTTTGGTTAAATATGACTTTTCCCTCCTTTTTATCTGAGGTTGACCTTTCAATCCTTCTTAGCTGTTCGTACATCGGGTCAGTATCCAAGTGTCTGTTGAAGTTCATTTAATCAGATCGTCCTGCTTTTAGGAATTCACATGCCATTTTTAAGCTTGCTTACTTTAATATTTCCACGTCTACCTAATCGAAGCTGCGGTTGTGCTTACCTACATGTATCAGTGATGACATATCATGTCATTTGACTTCAAGCTGGTACTGATAAATTCTCTAGTATATTCGACGAGTGGGATGGGCAACACATTGCTATTAACAGTCTTTGCAAATAGTTTTCTTGATTGTATTCGTTTTCTGCTCTTTGCACAATAGATTTTATGGCCTTCATGAGGTGTTTTGTAGGGACTTGGTTGGTTTCCTCATCACGCTGATACTGAATGGGTAAAGTCATCTGTTTCTAGCTTCTAAGACTTTCTTGATATACGTTAAAGCAATTCGTTTTGCAGGTAGAGGTAACTGTTGTGATATATAATCCACCCATGAGCATTTCTTCAGCAACAAGTCTTATCTACTATCTTCAGTCTCATAGTTCGGACAGAAAAGTTTGTATCTTTTGGGTTTTTATTGCCAGATTTATTATCTTTAGTCATCTCACCAAGTAAATTAACATCTCAGAGATTTGTTACTATCATGAGTTTTCATTGTAATAATACCGTAATAACTGCCATAGGCTGTAAGAATTCACCTTCTTCAAACTCCTCAGGCTGTTGCAATAAGAACTCATGAAATCTTAAATCTACATGCATAAAAATCTTCGAAATTCTCTTGTACTCTAGTGATCATTCTTAAAAATAGGAGTCACATCATACAGGTACACAATGACTCAACTAACTTATTCTGATCTACCGATTTTCACTGACGATTTAAATTTTTTCAAGGTCTCATGTCTCTATACTGTTACTTGTAATTACCCGTTTTTGCATTGAGTTGGTCAACTCCCTACTTCAACAAACAAGCGCCAATCAACATCAGCGGCAGAAATCCAAAGGAAGTAATCTCATTCACCTAAATAGGCAGCATCGTTTCAACTCCTAGATAGTCTGTTGCAAATAAACAGTTCATGGGGTTCGATATAATGAAGCATCAACATTCAAAAGGTCTCATAACAGAATCACTTAAAAAGTGAGTTAGCGAAACTGAAATGTGGTATCAATTCATGAAGTTTTAGCTGTGTGCAGTAATATAAATGGCCAGGTTGAGGTCTATATGACAACAGAAAATAGTATTTGAAGACTCTAGGTAGTATGTTTCACAGCCGGTTTCAATTGCACAGATGTATACACATGTTATCTTCATTTTATTCAAAATTGTCCCACTCCTCTTTGTTGTCTTATAATGATTTTCTACGAATTTCGCCCGCTTTCTTTCTGTTCACATCTTTATCTTTTACCTTGATGATTTCTCGCTAAATATGCTGATACAGGGTATGGAAAATTGAACCATTACGGAATAATATCAGATACTATGTGGATGTTATCCGTCTATCTATCTATCTATCTATCTATCTAAGATAACATTTTAATCATTTCAAAATGCATCAGATTTACTTGAGAATCTAGCCAGAAACTCGTTATTTATCTTATTCGAAACGATAGAAATTACTCTGTTCGAACCCTATTACATAGTTGATGCCAAGTTGTAGTCAGTTAAATTCCCTTTAATCGACTTCATTATCAAGCTGTTCACTCATATTTATGATCTGTAAAATGTCACTGAAGAGGGGGACCAAATGATATTCAAGTGATGAAATACAGGTTAAATAATGTCAAGAAGGTGTAGAATGGTGATCATGATGCTCATAGAAGTGAATTATTCAAAATGAAGTGAAATGAAGTTGACAAACTAAACGAAGTGAATAGTTAAGGCGAAGGTACTTGTGACATTTTACACATCATAAGAGTGAACAGCTTGATAATGAAGTCACTGAAATAAGTAGTATTCTTTTTGTTCATAACTGAAGGAATATATTTAGTCGGTTAATCAGCTTGGATACAATTTGGAAGTAGATGATAACATTTATGACTTAGTCATGTTTAGTTCTGTAGCATGTCAGTCAAATATTCTAAAGTTGCCATTATTAATTATTTCCTGCAGTTATTCCGGAGAATATTCATTGAAAATAAAAGACTGAACTCTTTCCTCGTTCCACACAAAAATGGCATTACAAGCATGGTGCCACTAACAGTACTTTACAATTCAATATTCCTTAGCAATTAAAATACAAAAAAATTGATGGAGTAAGCTACAGTAATCCATTCAATATTGACTTTGCATTATGCGAATTATCATTAGGAATTAAATAACCTAAACAGAATGAAATATTCTGTGAAAGATGTGAAGGACGAGAAGAGGACAACAAAATGTTCGTCATTCATCATTACAGCAAAAAAATAAACATGTTCATGTTAATTTAAAGGAGTTCACATTGTAAGAAGTAGTTTCATCACGATATCACTAACAATGAAGTCCACATTAACCTGAAATCAGTGTGGAGATCTACTGCACTCAGCACAAAGAAAAATTCCCAATTTACAACACTAATACAAAGGCACTGATTCTATGTAATGGTTCACAAACTTGGCGCACAACGAAAAGCATTCACAACAAACTACAAATATTCATCAACAGCT